CGGTCATTTTGCCGAACGGACATTTTGCCGAACGGACATTTTGCCGAACGGACAGTTTGCCGAAAGGACAGTTTGCCGAAAGGACAACTTGCCGAAAATAAAGATGTTATTTCGTCAAAATGTTTGGGACTGTGACTCATTTCTCAACTGTGTAATTCTTAACCATTGTGTAAAATAACCATTATATGGTCATTAGCAGTGCATATAATGGGTCATTAGCAGTGCATAATTTGTTGTTAGCAGTGCATAACCATATTGACTATTGGTAGCTTGTTGGTGCAGCGGATGACTCATTTGTTTGGAACGTGTTTTGACGTCAGATCGTAAACAAACAATTGTAATACTATATAAAGACGACGTAAGCGAATTTCACTTAGAGAATCATGGAATACATTCACAGTTCTCGGGGAAATCACATTCATGAATGATGTTGAATGATGTTATTTTTTATATCGCGAATTTTCGGTAAACTTGTCAAAAACTTGAAAGAATATAAATTTTCGGCAAAATGTCCGTTCGTCAAACTGTCCGTTCGTCAAACTGTCCGTTCGGCAAAATGTCCATTCGGCAAAATGTCCATTCGGCAAAATGTCCGTTCGGCAAAACGTCCGTTCGGCAAAACGTCCGTCGGCAAAATGTCCGTTCGGCAAAATGTCTTTCGGCAAAATCTCTTTCGGCAAAGTGTCTTTCGGCAAAATGTCCGGCCACCGTCCACTTCATGAGTAATAATTCTCAATCTCATGTTGATTCTTTGCTTGACACGGAAGTTCGCGCTAAAGCCGTTCAGTTGCAGGAAGATAAGGAAAACAACAGAGCTATTATAAAACTGATTATTGACCTTTGTCGTACAATGGCAAGACAAGGCAAGGCATATCTTTTCGGGGCACACAATCAGACGCTGATAGCAATTTTGCCCAGCTTCTTTCCTTCACGTCAAGGCATTGTCCAAAGTTGAAACAGTGGATGGACAACAAACACAATAGAGCATACAAAGTTACCTACACCAGCCCACAGTCACAGAACGAGTTCCTTTCTCTATTAGGTATGGAAGTAAATGAAAAAATAACCAACGACATCAAGGACGCAGGAGTTTTTTCCATAATGGCAGACACAACCCCTGACGTTAGCCATAAAGATCAAATGAGCGTTATCTGCAGGTACGTAGATCACGACGGAGCTGTTCATGAGCGTCTTCTTGACCTGAAAGAAGTTCGAGAAAAGACCGGAGAAGGTCAAGCCACCGCTATTATTCAATCAGTAGACCAAAACGGATTAGACAACAAGAGCATCGCTTTTCAATCGTACGATTTCACGAACAGTATGTCTGGAAAATGCAATGGTGCACAAGCAGTTGTCTCACGGTTACTCGACAGAGAAGTACCATACATACCATGCCAAGGCCATCGTTCTAATACCGTCAATGAACATGCTTGTGAAGCTAGTCCAATAGTATCCGAGCTATTTGATACTCTCCAAGCGACATATTCCTTTTTCAATGGCAGTACCAAGCGGTATGCTGTCTTGCATGATGAACTTCAAAATGTCGGACAGCACGAGCGGAATCTCTCCGAGCGATGTGGATATCGTATGAAGCCGTGATCGAAGTTCTAAGGAAAATTTCAAATGATGGTTCTGTTGACGCGAAAGGAAAAGCTGCTGCAACTGGTCTGCTGGCTAAAGTTCTCCGGGTCGACGTTGTGGTCAGTTTAATGTTCATGAGGATTATTCTCTGGAAAACAAAGGTTCTGACGGAATCACTTCAGAAAGAAGATTTGAATATCGTTGATGCTTTGGAAGCGTTGGATGGTACAGTAAAATCTTTGCAGGACATAAGAAAGGATGATGAGGGAATTGCAAATCAGATTCAAGCTTCAACTGAAGTGCTATCAGGAAAGGACGTGGATGCTGCCGGTGAATTTGCAAAGCTGCAGGTGAATTTGCAAAGCTGCATCGGCCACGCAGTCGACCACGCCGTTTGGATGATAACCCAGAATCAGCCGAATCATGAACTTTTATGGCAGATAATTTAAAGAAGTTCTTGATATTCTAATCGCACAGTACAAGGGCAATATAAATGCAAGTTTGGAGAAGGTGAAAGCACTTTCCATAGTCCTCCAACCACCGCTGAGTTCCCATCATGTAGAAAAAGATGTGAAAGATCTTCTCAACTTATTCCCGCTTCAAGCACCAGACCAAGCTGCGTTTACTGCTGAATTCGAAGTTTTTGTTAATGTGGCTATGAACGAAGGCAATACAAATCCTATCCAGTCATTAGCTGATGCTGCCAAAGAAGCTGAGAAGCGAAAACACATTTTCCCGTTGACCAGTCAAGTTTACAGACTCGCCCTGACATCTCCCGTGACAGTGGCAGGAAATGAAAGAACATTCAGCAAGCTAAAGACTGAAAACCGCTTTGCGTAATTCCATGTCGGATCATCGCTTACAAAATTTAATTTTGCTAAATTAAACAGCGAAAAAGATATCACTGACAGTGTGGACCTAAACATACTAGTTGAGAAATGGTTTATGAAAACCAACCGAAGAATAAATTTGTGACATTTGTCATGCCTGCATGAATGACGTTTTCATTACGTGGAAATGTTAGTGAACATAAACAATTGCTGCCGCACAATATAGCCATTATGGCATTGTTGTGAAACTAATTACATTACTTCATTATTAATTTTATGTAATTATGAATTCAGAGGCCGCGGAACAGAGGGGCAATGAGGATATGTGCCCCCCCTTTTTTTAAAGAAAAAAGGGCCCTTTTTCTGGGCTTTATTTTGCGCTCCATTTAAAATCGAAAAAAAAATATGTATTGAATGAACGCCCATTTTTGCAGTAGTAAAGACTCTGTAAAGGCCATTTTCGGCGTTATAGAGACTCCATATTTTCAAAAATTTTCTTTCGGCTCGTTAACGACATAAATTCGTTTGATTTTGGTCATATACAAAAGTGCCCCTTTCGTCAATGCCACTACACAATCTAAATGCTTCTGCGGCCTCTGATTATGATAGATTGATATTTTGGGTGCGCCAACCTCGTTCCCAGGGCTTTTCCCTTTTTGTCACTGGGAAGGCGGGAAAAGGCCCTGGCACCGGCCGGTCTTCTATGTATTCTGATTGGTCAATGACAAGTATATTATTATGCAAATAATGCAATCTTGGATTAATTTATTCAAACTTTGGGATAAATTAACATTTTCACGCAAGGAGTGTCCAATTGTCCATTATTAATACTTTGTCCGTCTAAGAAATATTTTTGGCAAAATCTGTGGCAAAATGGTTAAATTCGATAAAATTTATACACAATTTGTCGAAGGTTAGTATTGTTGTTTGTTTAAAACTGTGAGAGAAGATTAATTGTGTACTAGAACACACCTCTGAGGCTCTGACCAAGTATTTAGGGCAAAAATATGTGCCTTCATTGGCTTCGTCGTATAGCGTTAATGTTTATATTTATAAAACTAAAGTCTGGGTTTATAAACTGAAACATGACCTTAGTTTTTGATATTCTTCATAGTCGAGTTTAAGTTGGCCTAATTTATAGTTAGTTACTACTAGAAATGCGACGATATTTTGTTATATCATATGCAACAGTGTTTACAACTTTTGAATAATATGTCATTTGGTTTTGTTTCAGATACTATTACATGTTGCTTCATTTTACCATAAATTGTGTTAAAAAAGTGATTTACTCATTTGGCTGATGTTACAGTTTTCTGATATGTTTTGTTTGGATGATATTAGAACAATTTCAATATGAAAGTGCAGGTGCATCAAAATACTGATAAAATCCGTTTCCAGCTTGATTGTATTTGCATTGTTGCGGACAAAGTTGTGCAATGGTGGGCTTATGTCACATACTCGTATGTAATTCCATGTGCATGCTTGTACTTTGATGCCTCAAGAGATGCTTCGAATGTGTAATAAAGGACTGTTCGCAGGAGTTGGGCTGTCTGGCCTTAAATTGCATTGTTTTTATGATATTTTAAGATTGTATTCATATGGCTGGACCATCTTGCCATTTGGCCAATGTCTGATGTTTAAACAGGCTTTAAAATCAGGTTACAATGCATGCTTGAAAATATGCAACAATTTCACTGCTAATAATATTCCAGAAAATCCTGCCTCTTGGGAAGATCTGGACTGATTTGTGAGAGGGGGTTGTAGGTTTTCTACTTGTGATCGGGAAGGGGAGCTAGCCAAGGGTGCTGGGTCAGAGTCAAACTCATGTGAACAGCTTCTAAGTCCTAATTATATTGATAAATTATGTACACTTTGGGATGATAATGCAATATGTAAAATATTCCACATTTTATTTAATAAAATTTAATTATATACATTGTTTTGTTGTTTATTTAACACCTTGGACAGTGTATATTTACACCTTTGGACCCTGTAAATAAACACCTTTGGAGGGTGTACCCATTCTAAGCCAAAGACATTTAAGAACAATTATCAAGGTATTTGCATGATAAAATATATTAAAACTGCTCTCCATATACATGTAATGCATGGTTCAATTCTTGCTTTTACCAAGTAAACCCAGGGATTTTCAATCTCCCCCTCCTCCCGTAGAATTCACTTGAAGTGACTTGGGCAAGGTAGCTATAAGTATAAGTAGGTATAATATATAAAAGTGAATTAAAATTTACAAATAGAGCTTTTTGAATATAGACCATTGCAAATTTTTTTTTAATTTGTTTAACCCTTTATAGTGTCAATGTGCCCTACTTTAGCATATTACTCCGTCTGGTGCCAGACAATTTTACTCAAGGGCAGAATGTAGACTTGCCACAAGTCGACCTCGAACGAAACGTCGGCTCACACTCGCTGCTTGCGTTTCGTTCGAGGTCGACTTGTGGCAAGTCTAGGCAGAATGCTGCCACTCAATGAGTTAATATATTTTCAGAACAGTTACCATCAAATTAAATCTATTTTGCTGGCAAAATTGCCTTGGAGGGGGGTCCTTGATTTGTTGAGTCTTTTTTTTGGGGGGGGAGGTGTGAGTGTTGTAAAAAACAGAATAGCAACTGGTTTCAGAATAGGAAGAATTGTTGTAATATAGGTAATATAATTCTATGACAAATCATCCAAAGGAAGCAATCATTCTAGCTCTTATAGTGTATGTTGCAACAGGAATGGATTTACTGGGGGGTGTGCACCCCCCACCCCCCTAGCCCTGGCCAGAGGGGGTGCAGGGGGGGGTGCTATTTTTCATGATAAAGCAAAAAATTATTTCAGGCAAAATGAGATACAGTAATTTGAGTAATAACATGATAAGCGAGCTGTGAACAACAATTCAAATACAGTAGTAAAGCAAGACTTTGCAGTAGTGAAGCAAGTTGATGGGCGGGCGGCACACATGACCAACACAACTCGGCACCAGAGCTGGCAGAGCACGCCCCACCCCACCCCACCCCTACCAGATCATGCTGGATCCATCCCTGTGTTGCAAAATGTATTTTCTTCATAGTCAGGCATTCACATGAATGAAGATTAGAATTGCATCATGTTATATAGTCTTAAATATTTAGGAGGGTCTCCATTATTAAATTAAGAGATTAAAAAGGGGTCCCATGACATTTTGACATAAGAATCTCCCACCCCACCCTAGGGTATAATGAATGGTCACTTAAAGTACATGCCATCTTCTAACTGGTTGGGCACCTTACCCCTTTTGTTATGGAAAATCTATTCCCTACCTTTATCCCCTGGGACAAAAAATTCAAATCAATTCTTCACCCTGATAATGTGCAGATGGTAACAGCAAGATTTGAAGCAAGCAAGCTTTACTGGAGTACATATTATTTATAATATTAGGAAACATCAATCCGCACATGCTAATTTGCCAGTGATGATTTTAAACGTAATATTTCTTATCTCATATAGAATTCTTAAGGTCTTGTTTACATTTTACTGGAAGCAAACTAAGATGCATATCCAATATTTGAGTCATATCACTCATATCATATGTCAGTTTTGCAGCTTCCCAGCTTCAACAACATTTGGCTGCAAGGAAAACGTAAACAAGGAAAGAGCATATAACACTTCATCTGTGTTTAAAATATCAATGAATAAATATTCCAACCATTGGCACTTTATAATATAAGTGACATTCAACAATAGATCAATAACATATACAGTATATATGCAAAAACATTTCTTTGAATAACTGTATAAAATATTCCTCATAATTCATAAACTCGCTCCAATCGTCGCACAGCAGAGTCTTTGGAAGGGTAAAACCAAGTTTAACATCCCAGTTCAAAACACTTTCCGTGTCCTCTTAGGCAAGCCTGTCCAGCTGGAGAACATCCGTCGACTGTCGTAATGCTATATTTTTGCTCAATTGGCTGTTAATTTTGTTTAGCGAACGAACGATATTTACCAAACCCAGTTGGAAGAACAGCAACTACATAGTTCCCATGTAATAAAGGCTGAAGAATTTGATTTCGAGTACGTCGGTAGCAAAAGGAAGGAAAAATTTCCAAGACTAAACGCATTTTTAAGCCGCTCTAAGCACTTAAATTTTGTGGACACTCTTAGGTTGGCGGCCATCTTGGATTTTCTAATTCATTATTATTATAATTTATTACACCCACTCAGTGAACTCTATATATATATATCTGGAATGATAACAGCGAGCGAAAAGTGAAGCCGACAAAAAAATCACGACATAAGTCAACCTCGTACCCAGGATCTTTCTTTGGGAAAGACCCTGGCTGCGGCTGGTCACGTGCTTCATAAAAAATTTAGCGCCTGAGGGGGTGTGGGGAAAGTATCAAATTACATCAACATGCTTCCAGTGGGATATTCGTTAAAAACATAGATTTTGCGAATTATTACGTTCAAAATACTTGCTAATTTTTGTTTATTTTCTTTGCTTTGAATTTACAAGAACATTGTGACATTCTTACTTACAGTCAAGTCAAGTTGAAGAAACCAAGCAAATCGTTACTCGCAGTGCTCTCTCGTGTTGTTATTCAATGCATGCTCTCTTCACACTCAAGAGCGGTTATAACAAACGTTTATTGTAATGTTTTTAAAATAGGCTATTACATTTGTCCTTTCTTGTAAACGTTGATACGTTTTGCACCGATTCACTTGTTACTACGCGTCTTGTTTATAAGATTTTAAAAAGAAACAGTATTGTCTAGGACTGGCCCAAACATTAGCAAATGTAAACATTTGATAATAGCCGAACAGAGAAATGTCCATAAGCATAGAGGAAATTTCAGTCTGTCATTGATTTATCTGGATTTACTACATAAATTCGTATTCGGTAATTATAGTAAGACTTTAGCCTTTTTCTTGGTCTCTATTAATCATTATATTGTGCTAATATACTATAATCTATATCACAAATTTAGAGTGTCAGATGCGCACAGACCGTCATTTGGCGTCATACGAATAGACATAAATTTTCGAGTTTTCTACTTCTACTAACATTTTTAAAGTTTTCATTGTGAATCACCTGTTTATCTCTAATTCATTAATCATTTGCTACTGATATTTATTTGATAGTGTCAATGTCATATAGTGAATAATGCGTTTACACACAAGCAATCCTGGATATGATATAGACGATGCAAGCTGTCCATACAAAAATAACGGTATTCTATTTCACAAAGCAAAAATTTAAATCTCACTTGTAGGCCTATATATTGAGAATGCATATAAAGCAAAAAATTAAAGCTTATTCATGTCAAAACAAAAGCTGTTTACAAAATTTATAAAGGTGGTGAACACTACTAAACAGTGCTCATTGAAAGACATGTATAATATAGTGACATATAATTTGTCGTTTGACTTATCTTTGGTGTATGATTTTAATACCGTAGATTTTCAACAGACAGCTATACTTTGACATATACCATGATCGTTGGTTTCAGCAATGCAAAGGGCCAATTTTATAGTCTTTTGACGGGCTTTAAGTTTTTTGATAAGGCCTTTATATAGATCAACAATCTCGATACAGTTGGCGATATTTCGGAAATCAAAAGATCTCGCTATTTCGTTGCAATTCCACATCAATAAATAAATTCTTTTGGTCCGAGTATCAGGATAAACTTTAATACTAAATAAATAACAACCACACTGTTCGGTCTAGAGATATATATTTTCTTGTAGGTTTAATCACAGTTTAATATTGCCACGCTGCACAAGCGTGCTTTCTTTGGCAAGTCTATAATGAAATCTGATCCAACTTGCTTGAATTGTAACTCGACACCAGATTATAGAGTAGAACGTCACGATATAAATATTAATTCAAGAGTTCTCTTTACGATTTCTTGTTGCAAATTTACAGTAAATTTCATCACCCAAAGTTGCAATTTTAAAACGCTACAAACACGCTCCTTTCCCACCCCTCTCACAGTTACAATTAAATTTACCTCCCAGAATCTGGGAGGCACGTGACCAGCCGCAGCCAGGGTCTCTCCCAGATGACAGACGGAGAGACCCTGGGAACGAGGTTGGACATAAGTATTCGTCATTGTCTTCGTCATCAACTGTTCAAGAACTTTCTTACAGTCACAGAGTAGAGACATATCTTATCTACTCTGTGTTACAGTATTAAAAATCACTTACATATAAAATTTGTAATTGTTTTGAAAGTTTTTATCACAGTTTTTATATCTTTATTCACTTTTAACCTGAAGATGGAGTTATACTCCAAAACGTAGTTATTAAAATAATTTTTTACTAAGCCCATATGGTCTAATTTATATTCAAACATACGTACATATTCATTTACATTTTGCTGGCAGGCAAATTCCGATCACACAATAAATTCTTTAAAAAATAACGTACCAATGTATTGACTAAAAACTATAAAACTGGTAAACTAAAAAACAATTCAAACAATCGCGAAAAATGGCAACGGCAAAGTCACAGTTGCAAGTCAATTTACCTACCTGTGAAATGAAATTTTCTCGCAAGAACATCTCTTTCCTTGTGCATCCAGAACGACAGTACGACACAATATACTTGAAAAAGTGATTCTTTTCTCCACACGGGGAAGTTTTCCTCGAGTTTTTTCCGACAGCGAACTCAATGCAGTAAATTTTAGGAGCAAAACAGTTTGCTCCTAAAATGTATTGCATTGAGTTGGCCATGTTTTTAATTTTTTTTTCGTGATTGCGTTCAAATTTATACTGGCCGTGCAACGGTTTGCAAGAGGGGGAATGAAACTGACGTCCAATCCGCGTAAACCTGACGTTTGAGGGACTGAGACTGACGTCCAATCCGCGTGAAAGACTGGTATCGAGGCTTCATTGTTTTCACAATCAAATGACTGAATGTTATCGTTCCAGATATATATATATAGAGAGTTCACTGCACCCACTATATCTGGGTGTTGAAAGTCATGTGACCGGCCGGTGCCAGGGCCTTTTCCCGCCTTCCCAGTGACAAAAAGGGAAAAGCCCTGGGAACGAGGTTGTGGGTGCGCCTAATAAAAAACGGCTTTAATTAATATCTATATAATTTATTGCGTCTTCCGGATAGCAAACACCTTCGTGGCTTCATATGCCATGAAACATTCGGAAATTGTTTTCGTCATTCGGAAATTTTTGCCCTACCCCAACTATACATGCTAGCTACGGTCCTGCCTTCAAAATAAAATATTTGAGCTCAAAATACTATCAAAATGAGGAGAAAAGTGAGACGAATCCGCTGGCATACGGCCAAAAACGAGAAAACCAACAATTCCGAAGTTATCAAGGATCAAACGGACTGCATTTTTAATTAGTTCAATAATTTTGAGCGATTTGTGAACAATACAATTTCGCTTGTCTTTCAAAGGCAATAAATCGCTAGAATACTGTTGTTTAGTAATACATTTGACATCTGTGAATATAATTTATTACGCTGATTCGAACAGCAGTATTTTTGTCCTTGTTTGACGCACAAAACCAGAGATAAAGCTTAGCAAGTAGACAAACTCACAAACAAAGTCACAGGCAGAATATAATGCGGTGCCAAAAATGGCACAGGCACCGCAAAGTGAGAAATATTTAGATGTCGGCCATAATTTTGTTTGCATATTATTACTGTAAAGTCATTAGACGGCAACTTCTGGAGCACGTGGCCAGCACGCAGTCGACTTGAACCGTCCTGTCAGGTGACAACAATTTCTTGCAAGCTGTTCATTTTTGTTTCATTTCGATTTTCGAAGGCGGTTTATTTTGTTTTGTATTAAATATACAACGAAAAATGGGTAGAAAATTGAATTAAAAGCAAAGAAAAAAGATCTGGACTAAAGCCACCATTCAAGGGATTAAGCCGTGGAAAATCATCCATGCGAAAACAACAAAATTTACTGTCGTGGCTTGTAATATATAAAAACAAACGCCAAACAACTTCCTTATAGATGCATCAATCCTATCACTTCATACATTAATCATTATGCGAATCAACATATTAAAATCTTAATTATCATTTGTCATATCAACTTTGCACTATCCTTGGGATCTCTGAGTTAGTGATTTGGTTCATTTCTTAATTTGAGCACTTCTTTAACACTCGTCCCTAGGCACTCATCAACTTCGGAATGGCTAATAGATAATTTAATTAAAATTCCAGTTTGTGGGCACACAAGTTAGCTTATTACTCATTCAGAATATAACACGCAAGGAAAAATTGAACTACTAAAGCAAAAAATTAGCCCCAAAACAACAAATTTTAAATGGAAAACAGGTTTGGACAAAATTTGACTGACATTTGTACAAAGTTTGTCCATACCCTTGTATAAAGATGTGTTTCTTCCTGTTTTTATACAACCGGTGCATGTAGTATATGTACCATACACGCATAGTTCACACAACAAAGTTCTTTCACTTCTTTAAAATGAATTAATTTGAACGCAGTGTCTGACAAAATAATGAGGTTGAGCCTATGCATGTTTAGAATTAACCCATCTCCAACCCGGGTTAGTTTTCTAGTAAAAAACAAGTTGAAACGTTTAGGTGGACGTTTAGTTTTCCTTATTCAAAAATGTTTGCAAGGGTGACTATAGTCAGGGAAAAGTGACCAACGGCTCTGGCAGCGGGCTGAAGGATGAATTTCTTCCCATATCTGAAGCAGTTGATGATGTTAAGGGGCAAAGAATTTGTGCCATTTTCCTCCTTTCCTCTTTTTGGGCTCTCTTTTCCGCATTCTCACTGTTTCGTGAGAAAACACAAGAAATCTTGCCCGTGAAGAAATAGCTTCCTCCGCAGGCGACTCTCTTGTAAACGGCTGAATTGTACAATACTTTCTAGAGATCAGTGGCTAGAAATAGAATTGTTCTTACTTTCACTATTATCCCTTGAAATCCTCTATTACCACCATCTTACTCCATGCACAATATTACGTAATTCTGCCGTTTGCCATCAAGTTGCCTGCGGAGGAGCGTAGTGAAGGAGCTTGTAAATATTTTACATAAACTTTGGATTTTAACCAACCATATCATTGACGTCTTTAGGATTATTGAAAAATACGAAAGGTTTTATAAAGAGGAATCACAACCCATAATTCTACTCGTGTTTGTATGCCAAAAAGATCTGGCACTTTCACTGCATATCAAGAAATTCACCCATAATATGTCAAAATAATTTTACTATCAAAGTTCAAAATGATTACATATTTGCATATCTAAAGTATTAAGTCCACATTATATTATATTCAAAGTAATTTACACATGTCCGAATCATAGTTCTAAAGCCTGTTTTTCGCTACAACCGTATCGTAGCATTCACTTTTGTGTCGAAGTGATTAGTTTCACTCTAATGCTCAGGAAACAAAGAAATACACTAAGCTTTGGTTCGATACGGTTGAAGTGGAAAACGGCGTTAATAGGTGGCTTTCATCATGCTCCAGTTCAGTGTACATGGAAGGCATTTAAACAAAAGAATTTCATTTGAAGTTGGCGTCTGCTGGGATTGCCTGAAACCCACCTGTACCTGACCTGTATCTAAGCACGGAAACGAATGACCCCATTGCACACTGCGAAAACTATAGACATTGACATAGCTTAATATCCAAATCGTACAGCTATACGTTAATTTTTTATGTTATATGTAAACAGCGAGTTTGAGTGTTTCATCAGGGGATCCAAACACGAGTGTTTGGTCCCCTGATGAAACACGAGAAACGAGTTGTTTACACAACATCTCAAACGAAAACATTTCATTGGCTTATATATATATATATTATAGTACATTGTTGTGTTTTGACTTGAATTTGTAATTAGGATCTCAGTTATTAGATGAAAACCGTTTTTCATAATTTTCATAATTTGGTGCATGCGCAGACGTTTTTCCGCGGTGTTAATTTTCGCGTCGTCTATACAATTTATGACAAACGTTCTTGCACAATTCAGCCCCCGCTCCACCGCCCGTTCAATAGTGAGTTTGGGTAGTTGGAACGGCAACACTCCAACAGCATAAGACGCATAAAACAGATTGCATTCTTTATTTACTATGAGTTCGTTTTATGTGCATGGTTACGCTCCGAACGTCAATAAGTTCAAAGTCATTAGATTTCGAGATAATAGGGTAAATTCGGTCAAGGGAATCACAATTAGTTCGAAATATCGGGGATTTATCCGAATTCGAGATAACCGAATAAAAATGATTGAAATAATATTGCAAATCCACGCGAAACGGGTTTAATTTGGAAATAGCGAGGAGTTCGAGATAAGTGCACGAGTTCAACCAGCGGTGTTCAACTGTATTTACATTCTTGTATTCGAAGGGCCACCCACCCAGTCAATCATTTTGCCCCCCACCCAGGTCAAGGTCCCTTTTCTCTAAAATATAAGCAAAACAATTGGAAGAGAAATGGAACCTACTGTAGAAGGGAGGTTTGATATTCTACTAACTGAACCTTGGTTTGTAAATCTTATGTCGTGTCTGTTATCTTCAAATGATTCAATGTCGTCTCAAAAATGCTAAACATTGTGTTGTGAATACCTTAGATTTTAAACATTTCCCAGTGGATAGCGTATCCCAGACCCTATAGATTTGAGTTGTTGGAAGGTTAGGCAAAGCTTAGACAATCCAGAAGACCAGCCGTTCCGCACGTTGTAACCAATAATTTATTGGCGTTGTAATGCCATTGTATGCAATAAAGTATTGGTTACAATGGATTTACAATTAATCCAAACGCTAATCCTAACTCAAACCCTAACCCTAATCCTAACCCCTAACCCTAACCCCACCTTCTAACCCCTAACCCCTAACCCCACCTGCTAACCCCGCAACCTAACCGCAGGCCCTAACCCCGGCCGGCTACCCCTCCACTTATAACTAAAACTTTTGTGCAGTGGTTGTGGTTTTGTTTTCAGTTACAACCCAATACTTTATTGCATACAATGGCATTACAACGCCAATAAACTATTGGTTACAACGTGCGGAACGGGTGCAAATCCGCCATGTTTTTGGCCACACACTTTCGTCGAGAGCACGATCTCCAGATATATAAGTATAGCTCAGTGGTGCCATCCGTGATGTGCTTGCGTGACGTTTGTGCCATGTGACTTGAATCAGTTGAATTGCTTCGAAAACGAATAAAACGATAGATTGTGGACCGGTACTTGTCTGCTGTTTTACAGCTCTTTATATACTGGAAAATTGTTTAAATAGTTAGGTATATCACATTGCAGCCTCGTATCCGGCGCTTTGACCGCGCGTGCGTCACGCAACCAGTAAGGGAAGGCTCACATATCGATTTTTTCCACGAGAAACGTCATATGTTCGTTTGGGGGTGGGGGTGGGGGGTTCCAGCTGTGACGTTTCTCTGTAAATATCATGGAAAAATTCGATAGTTTTTTCGAAAGCCTTAACATTTCGAAATCATCTTTGCAGAGTTTAAAAAAGAAAACAACTTGATACAAACACCAGTCTATAGGCCTACATTCGTAATACGGTAATACCATACCTGTTCTGCACGTATACATTTATATTATTATACGCCTTCCTTGCATTAAAAACACTCAAATTTCAAGAAAACCGCGCTAAAATGATCAATATTTCATGCAAAAAAAAGTTGTTTTGAGAAACGTTGGAAATTTTGAAGTTCATATATATTAATAAAAAACGATATGTCAGCAGAAGATGACATATTACTCGCGGAAGCATCGCCAATAGCCGACCGTAGAAAATAGTAGAAAATTACCTTATGTGTACTATGTTGAACAAAATATCGATAACTATGTGTGACGTTTCTAAGGGGTGGGGGTGGTGGTGGGGGTCTCCAGAGAAACGAACATATGACGTTTCTCATGGACGAAATCGATATGTGAGGCTTCCCTAAGCACATCAAAGCGCCAGGGACGAGGCTGTATCACATTGTGTGTAAAGTTTATAAAACGGATCTGCTTATTCAGAGACGAGTGCAAAGAATTTTCGAGCTTGTTCGAAAATTTTGATTTCCAATTTGGGGTGGACTTTCAGGCACGATTCAGGTTTGTTTGCGTATTTTAGTTTTCTTTAATTAAGTTTACGTTTATTTATTCAGTTTTGCTTCACTGTAATTACGTTATATAAATTGATTGAAGTTATCTTTTCGAAGTTTTCCTTGTCCTTGATCTGTATTTTAAAATTTGAAATTGGCAATTTCGGTTTAATTAGGGACGGACCATTAAGAGGCGGTATAGGCAAAACCAAAAAAAAAATTATTTCCAGAAAAAAATTAAGAAAAAAAAAATCTTCCCAGGCATAGTGCAAAAAAAAAAAATTCCTTGCTTAGAAGATAGGCCAAGTGGTGTAGTGGAGGGAGGGCTTGAGGGTGCTTAGCACCCCTTGTTAAAATTTCATGTTGACTTGGAGGGGCTGAGCCCCCCTATGTTTTTGGCGCGTTGCATAATCTTAACAACGTCAAAAACACACACAAAAATATCAGTAAACGAGAATGTTCTTTAGAATTGTATCTCATTTTCAGTCATCATTTAACACAATGATTTTTGTAATCTTTATACCGCGTTCATGCGCCGTAGCAAATTGGCTGTTGAAATAGCGATCCTGTTTTGTCTGATTTAAACTCTATCCAGGGCTGTATCAACGGGAGGGGCTTGGGGCTGCAGCCCCCCCCCCAATAATTTGCTAATAATCATTCTTTTGACAAAATCATGTGTCCTCTAGCGTTCGTCAGCAGGGTGAAGAGACATTTTGCCTGAGAGAGCAGGCAGCACTCGTTCCTACCGCGGGCAAGGCACAGGTTAGCTCACCGCCCCCCATTGCAAGTATAGGCTGCCAAGGTTAGGTCAGTCCCCTCGGCGCATAGACCTATATAAAGTTTACGTCATCACTATACGGTCAGAGGCTCAAACATTGTAGAGTCTTTACCATATGTGCCGAGGACAAATCTTTAGCTACTCGATACATTTAAATAATATATCTTTAAAACACTGACAATTGATTAATTGTAAGCTGTACATTATCCATGACAAATTGCAAAGAATGAAGATATTACCCATAATTTCCTGCAATTTATCCAATATATAGTTAACTAAATACGCCTTCGCCCATTTAACACTACTAAATTGTAAATTTCGACATACTAAAACGCTGTTTTCTGACCATCAGAATTCTGTCAAATCTTCCCCAAAGTCCAGGAAATGGCATTTCAGAGACTCTAAATTTAAAAATTTCCTCGGGCCTTCGGCCCTCGCTTTCAGCCCCTTTGTTTTTAGTAAGAATAACGTCGAATGTTTGTCCCACAATTTCTAGAATAAACCCCAACAAAATTTAGAATTTCCAAAATATCTTATTGTACACCCCTCCCGCCAATTCAGGACACTTTGGAGAGCCCCCCTTGTTAACATTCCAGGATTACACCACTGATAGGCCTATAAATTTCACTTAAAAAAAAAATATTTCCAACCATCAAGTGAGAAAAAAAATATATTTCTTCTATAGGTGTACAAAAAAAAAAAATATTGCCCCTTAGAAAATCCCCTCCCCCCATCACTTTTCTAATGGTCCGTCCCTTAATATACCTTACATTTTATTGACAACAAAGTGATATACAAATTGACAACAAATTGATTTTATTGACAACAAATTGATATAAAAAATAGCCTATTCGATAGATTACAGTCTTGTGATTTCAAATGGCTTCATCGTCAAAGACAAAACACGTTAAGTTTGTAGTTACAGGGTTAGTTTTTGGCAGTATTTTCTGGAAATAATTGCTGCGTGCGCGATTTACCGATAGCACGATCCAAATTTTACATTTAGCATCACTATAAAATAGAAATAAATGAAAATTTGGACGTTCGAACGTTATAAGTGTTGGCTAGCAGTTGAACAAAAACGTACTGGAGTATGAGTAAAAATACTATTGTTACTGAACACGTTTTCATTGACGTTATGCTGTTGTATTTCCCGTACTCACTATTGTTGGGGTACCCTGGTTCCAGAGGTTTATTTTTATTATTTTCATTGCGAAGGGGAGAGGAAAAATAAACCTCTGGTTGAAAGCGGCAATTGATTCATCAAGCCGCGCCAATCAGTTTGAATTAGGGTCATATCTTGACTCTGTCTCCTGATTGGATGATTGTATTAAAGCTCTCTGATTGATTCAAATAAAACATCTATAACCAATCAGAGAGCTTTAATACAATTATCCAATCAGGAGACAGAGTCAGGATCTGACCCTAATTCAAACTGATTGGCGCGGCTCGATGAATCAATTGCCGCTTTCAACCAGAGGTTTATTTTAAACCTCTGGAACCAGGGTATTGTTGGGGAGAAAACAACCTGTTCACGATGGGGGATGACAATATAACTATTGACTGCCCAATCATGCTTAATAATGGTTTAATTAATCAAGTGGTTCTTGTAACTGAAACTAACTTATGAACTAGCTTAAAACTATATATTCTACTTATTAATATATTTTCATAACACAAACCTCTACAATCTACAAAGGTACAAAAACACAGTCTAACGAGTAACGTGATCGGCACAGGTCAGTCCACGAGACCGTTGCATGGGGCGTTGTGAAAACCCAGAACACCGGAATATCACGGAATATGGCGGAATAACACGGAATATGGCGGAATATCACGGAATATGCCGGAATATCATGGAATATCACGACCTTTTCCTGGAATATACCGGAACATCAGAATATTTTCCAATTGTAGCCATGCGACTGTTTATAGACACGGACGTCTGACAACATATTTTATTACAAATGGAACTTTCCCATTTTGACGATAAGTAACAAACAATTACTCTATACTGGAAATTTTATATGTTGTTATATGTATATATCATTATTACAAGTGTTCACCAAAAATTTTGAATCAATATGATTAATTCCTCCTGAGTTACAGCGTCTTGAAAAACAAAAGTGCTGACGTCAGCATTATTTTCGAACGCCTTCAGAACTGTGTTAGACACAAAATTTAGTTAATTAAAATTGACCATTTTATACCACCAAGCATTTATCCAAAGGTCAAATGCTAAAATAAAATAAACTTTGAGCCAGTTGTTTATATCAGGTAATTAAGAAGTCCCGTCTTAAACTTTAACCAATAATATTTTTAACTAAATTTTGTGTATAAAGGCTCGTTCATACTTGCAATTTTTACTGCGATTTTAGCCGGTGCAATTTTCTTCTTCTGATGGATGTGAACGAGTGGATAAGTTATGTATGTTCAGATGAGGGTACATGTACTCCCAACATTCGTGACTCACTACTTTTTCTTGTCTATATTAATGATTTACCAAACTGCCTCAATCATACAACACCCAGAATGTTTGCAGATGATACGAGCGGCGTCAGTTATACCTCAAATTCTGTTGAAGAACTGGAAAATATCATGAACTCTGACCTCAAAAATCTCAATAGTTGGCTTACAACCAATAGATTAAGCTTAAATATCGTAAAAACAGAGTTTATGATTATTGGTTCTCGCCAGAAAATAAGAGTTATAGATGGGGAAATGAATATTAAGATAATAAAATAAATAGGGTTGATTTCGTCAAATCCTTAGGGCTACACATTGACGAACACCTTTCTTGGTCAGTACATATTCGCAAATTATGTAAAAAAATTGCTTCAGCTATAGGCGCTTTAAAACGCATTAGATCGTTTATTACCACGAACACTGCTATTCAAGTTTACCAATCTTTAATTCAACCTCGTTTTGTTCAACCTCATTTTGACTACTGTTGCTCGGTCCGGGACGGTAACAAACAATTATTCTATACTGGAAGTTTTATATGTTGTTTATATCAGTACTACGAGTGTTCACCAAAAAAATTGAATCAATATGATTAATTCCTCCTGAGTTACAGCGTCTTGAAAAACAAAAGTGTTAACGTCAGCATTATTTTCGAACGCCTTAATTTTCAGAACTGTGTTAAGGCTCGTTTACACTTGCAATTTTTGCTGCGATTTCTAGTGCGATTTCCTCCTTCTGATGGATGTCAATCAATCCATCAATCAATCAATCAATCAATCAATCAATCAATCAATCAATCAATCAATCAATCAATCAATCAATCAATCAATACAAATTTATTTAAACACGGTAAAATCTTCAGTACATGGATATAAATCTAACTATTATAAGAGTAATAAGAAAGTTATAAGTTACATACACACATCAATTATAAAAAAATCTAAAAATTATCTACTACTGGTTTACAAGATTGCCGTGTGGGAGTTCACTTGAATTATAATACTTAAAATATTATAATACTTATCTACAGCTTTCTCAAATTGTGGAAATGTTTGTAGCTTTCGTATATCTTGACTGAGACTGTTCCACAAGTAGGCACCACTATAACAAAAGCTTCGTTTTAAGTAATTTGTTCGTGGCTTGGGCAAATTTAATCTCGTCTCAGAATTTCTTAAATTGTACCCTGTGACTATGTCACGAAGTGAAGAAAAGTCTTGTAGATATGACGGTATATTCCCTTTGAGAGTCTTAAAGATTAGGCCAGCCTTAAGCTTTTTGCGTCTTAAGAAAAGGCAATCTAAGTGTAAAGTATTTAATAGGGTGCTTGCACTGGTATCGTAGCTATACCTCGTAAAGACCCTTACCGGTCGGTTCTGTAATTTCTGTATTTTACAGCTTAATTATGTTTCGTCAAAATGTGTTGTAATAAAATATGTTGTCAGACGTTCATGTTTATAAACAATCGCATGGCTATCATTGGAAAATATTGTGATGTTCCGCCCAGTATATTCCGGGAAAATGTCGTGATATTCCATGATATTCCGGCATGTTCTGTGATATTCCGCCATATTCCGTGATATTCCGCCATATTCCTTGATATTCCGGCATTCCGGGTTTTCACAACGCCCCCGTTGCATGGCAGATGGAAACAATACATCACCTAGATAAATACAAATATAGAACATTAGCAATTGTGAGGGGTATAGCCGTTTAGGGTTTTTAAAGTACTACCCCTTCCCCCTTTAGTTTAGTTTAGCTTAGTTCCGTTGTGTCACATGACCGGAAGTGGGTGAATATTTAGTTTTATATTTTAAAGCGAAATTATGTGAATAAAGCAAGTTTAATTTAACTTTCTGTCTTTCTTGACTGGTGTTACTATTCGATAGGAACACGAGTTACATTTTGGCGATCCTGCCAGGACCTACAAAGGGATTTTAACGTTGAAAATACTGTGCAAAGATGTGGATATATTTCGTCCAGGCCAGTGGCGGCGCCAGGCTTCCAAATTTGGGGTGGGGGGGATTTGAGGGGCAAACTCTAATTTTTGGGGGGCAAGATAGAATTTTTAAAAAGGTCGCCCCCCAGGAAATTCGCCTCCCCCCCTCAAAACGTGGCGATATTCCTAGGAATATCGCCCCCGGGGGCGAATATCCTAGGAATATCGCCTCCCAGGGGGTGGGGCGAATACCCTAGGAATATCGCCCCTCTTTAAGACATTCGCCCCCCCCCCCATATATGCGATGTGGTTTATTCAAATAATTTCGTGATACTTTCATCTTATTATTGCTTTAGACGTTTGAGAATTTAACTCTGCAAAACTAAAGGTTTTTTTGTCTTTTTTTTGAAACGTATTATTGGAGTATTGGCAAGTTTTACCATTCAGAGATTTACAAACTAATATTGAAACTGTAAAAAACAGTTTCATGTATACGCGCATTCACTAATGAGTAATGATCGACAACTTATAAGCCATACATTTTCCGATAACGACAGAACGCTTGTGTAGCCTTTAGTCGCTCTTAGTGACTAATAATTTTTTTGAGAGGGGGCAAACAAAAAAGGGCCGCCACTGGTCCAGGCGTGAGTACGGGTTTATATCCTGTCGTTTTAGTCGTAAAAATACGGTTTTGAAGGCTTGTTAAATGCGGATTTTCTGTTGAATGGGACGGTGTTTGGTACTGGGAAGTAAACAATACGAATTTTTCGAAAAATTAAGTAAAATTTGGTCGTATTTGTAAGGGATTTTGCGTGTACGTTGTGTGATCTTTTGATACTTCGCTATGGCGGAAGCTGACGAGGAAATTGAAGTGTTACAGCTAGAGTCCGAAATTGTGGTCTCACGATGGAAGAACTCGTGGAATTCGCGGAGCACGTAAAAGTAAATACTGAAGGGTTAAGAAAAATTCAATTATCAAAGGGAGTTCGTCAGAAAATCGAAGCAAATCTGGAGAAATCGGGTGACAAGAAAGCTTTACTTGAGGGCTATATTACGATGGTGACATCCGAGCCACTCCCATTAGAAACTCCAGATGAAACAAGTGAGCAAACGCAGGAAAATGAGGACGGAGTACAAACGAGTAAAACTGATTCGGAAACTGTCTCAAACCCCTCAAAAGATCTGGTTTCTAAATTAAATGTTGATTTGGTAAAAGCACTATACAACGATTACGTGCCAATGGAGTTAAGTTAAAACCAGAAAAGTGTAATTTCTTTCAAAGGGAAGTTAACTATTTGGGACAGATTGTGTCAGCAGAGGGGTACAGACTCGACCCAGGAAAGACTGAAGCGGTAAGAGCATTAAAGGACTCAGAACCGAAGACACTTGGCGAATTACGGAAACTTCTGGGACTTCTCGACTACTATCGGAGATATATTAAGGACTTTGCACGAATCGCATGCAAGACCACTATTCGATTTGTTACAAGCCCCACCTGATGTGAATTCTAACTCGAGTAATGTGAAAAACAGTGTACCATCATCACAATCAATTCAGTGGCAAAGCCAACACCAGAATGCTCTCAGTGAACTTCTTGATTGTCTCATAAGCGCACCTATCCTGGGTTACCCATGCAGATTATAGTCAACCGTTTGAGTTACATACAGATGCATCATTTCAGGGACTTGGCGCTGTGTTGTATCAAATGCAAGAGGGAAAGATGCGAGTAATCGGGTATGGTTCGAGATCCCTAAGCCCTGCAGAAAGAAGGTACCATGCTGGAAAGCTAGAATTCTTAGCCTTAAAGTGGGCTGTCTGCGAACACTTTCGAGACATTTTATACTATGCCCCGAACTTTACCCATCTATACAGATAATAATCCATTAGCATACATACTGTCAACAGCTAAATTAAATGCAATGGGTCATCGTTGGGTGTCCGAACTCGCGGATTTCATATTCGACATAAAGTACCGCCCGGGGCGTAATAACCAAGATGCAGATGCTTTGTCAAGGATGCCTGTAGACTTGGCAAATTACCGAGAAAGGTGCACGGAGGAGGTACCTAGTGAAAACATTGTTGCGGAACTTGTGATTCCACCGTCTGGTTCATTCAGTAAACGCTCAAGGGACTGTATTTTATAATTGTATTGATTGTAATATGTGAAAGTATACTATTTACAACGTGAGTTTTAGACTGTTAAACATTCCGATTGTCTCGCTACGATCTGATGGCAACAATGACATTCAATCACTCCCTAGCTATTTGATTACCCTACCAAATTACAATGTGTCACTGTGACGTATCAATTTACACATACAAAGACTTATTTACGATTTAACATGAATTACGTCAAGCAGAATACTGATATATTACATGAAGTATATTTAAAGTTGAATGAATTGGCGGCGCTGCGCTGGGAACCTACGACACCCCACCCACCTTGATTCATAAAGGTTTATGAATCAAGCATCGCCTTTGTCTTCGCTTTGGAAATTGCTGCAGCAGCCCGTCTCGGACGATCATGCAAGACATGCAAGGACCCGTCTGCCTTAGCTATGGGGGAATCCTTTCCCTGCCCATTCCCACCCGGTCGAGCTTGAACCTCCAATGGGAATAACTTCTGTATAGGCCTATTCAAATAGACTGGTCTACCCTTGCCTGCAACCTTTACTTTGGCCCCTCGGACCTCCTTGTCCTTACCTACAATTAACTCTTCTACAACTGCTAACTTCCAACCACATCTCTTTCCTCCTTCTCCGTACACTGTCACTACGTCTCCCTTCTTTACTTCTCTCAATCTACCTCCGTTTTTGCATTTATGGAACTCTCTCAACCCTGTTAGATACTCCTTTTGCCACCTCTTCCAGAAGTGCTCTAACTTTAACGACACATACTTAAATCTCTCCTCACAACTATTCTCGTCTTTAGTAACTTCGTTCTGTGGCATAATATTAATTGCTCTACCATATATTAAATGTGAAGGAGTTAAGACTTCACCATCAAATTCTTCGTATTCATCAGTCAACGGTCTTGCATTTAATGTACCTTCAACTTCAACTAAAACTGTATTAAGTTCGTCGAACGTTAACCTAGCATTCTCTAAAGTCTTCCTAAGACACCTTTTCACGCTTCGTACCATCCTCTCAAAAACTCCACCCCACCAGGGTGCCCTCTCTAAGTTGAACCTCCAGGTTATTCGCTTCGTCTGTAGCTCGGACTTAACCTTTTGCTGACTATATTCCTAAGAGCTTTCTCTGATGCCTTAAATGTCTTTGCATTGTCTGATACTATCAAACTAGGCGTTCCTCTTCTAGCGGCAAACCTTCTTAAAGAACGTAAAAACGTGTCGGCTGACAAATCTCGTACTAACTCTAAATGTATTGCACGTGTCACACAGCATGAGAACAATGCTACATACACTTTGTTGGAACAATCTGCACAAACCTTTACAAAAAGTGGTGCTGCCTGTCTGACTCTAAACCCCGGTAAATCTGATACTGGTGCTTCACTGTATGATTTCCCTTCTAGTCTCTTGCAGGTAACGCACTTGCCTACAATTCGCTTAACCAGTTGTCGTCCTTTCACTACCCAGTACTTTGATCGTAGTCTACATAAAGTC